TGAGTGATGCGATTTCAGGCTTCGCTTAGCTTGAGTGATGCAATTCCAGTAGTGTACGGATAAACTGGATCAGGCCCCTACTCATAATTGAGCATTTCTTCTCAGAGAAGAGAGTGGGCCCCATAATGGGCCCCAAACTGTTGATGTCTGAAATCACACAGCCAATAGGGGGAGGTTGTCTACCGAGGGAGGATGATAAAGGATAAATGGGCCAACTCTCCCTCCGACTTTATGCCTAGTTCTGAGCGCACGGAGTGAACTGATGGCATGCACACACAAGGAATGTCGAGGTACGGGGCATGTTTCCCCCGTAGTACCTCCGACGGTCAAGTTAGATGATGAATTTGAGGGAGGTTTTGGGGAGAGTCCATGGGCCATTGAGGTCCATGCAGGGTACATTCTTCTTTTAGAATTTATTTTTAAGCAACTTGAAGAAAAAAATGACTTCTTAGTTGTTTGAGTTCAAAGAACCTGAGTCCCGAAAAAGAGAGCGCTCCTTGGGCCCCCTTCTTTTCCCTTTCTCTTTATAGACTGTTGAGGATAGACATGTGGCTTCATCAGGGGTCTGAGGACGATGGTGGGGGATGAGCTGGAGGCTGAGTCAGCAGTAGTCCTTTCACGTGTCAGCTGGCGACTAGAGGAGATACTATTTCGAGATGATCTTGATAAGGCCCCGTGATTGATTAGATTGTGTATGGCCGAGAATATGGCGAGGCACTTGAGTACAGAAGACTCATTGATAACGTCCCAGGTTTGACGGATAAAGATAAAGGGAAGATAGACTGACCGATCTAGCTACTCATTGCTTCACAGATGGCAGCTGGCGACTGGAGAAAATGTCGTCTGAGCTCAGAGGGTGTCTTGATTACGTCCCAGAAGTGACTTGGGAATAGAATGAGTCGTCTTTGCATTTAAGACTTCGTCAGAGTTTGAGACTTTTGATGTGACTGATCAATATTGTGGTTGATTGATGTATATCTTGGAAATAGCTCAGTTGGATGACTCGGATCTTTATATTCCCCAGCAGGATTGTATTGGAAGGCGGGTCGTTCTCGTAACTTGTTGACCAGATAAGTGAGTCGTCAGTCCAGTCAGACAGCTCGGTAGACAGCCGAGTCGCCATTGGGGGAGTCGTTTCGATTGGGAGTTGGGTGGACTCCCGAGTAGCCGCCTTAAAGGCGAAGGGCCGATTGCTTCCGCGCTTCGTGTCGACTAATTCGTTTGGCTTTTGGCTAGGCTTTTCAGCTGAGTCGATTTGAATTGTGACTCCATTAGGCTCATGGAGATAATCTTCTAATCATTTTTGTTGATAAATAGTAGATTACCAAGACAGAGTCCAATCACAGATACTGCACCGAGTGAGAGTCGATGCCTGGAATATCCAGGAAGATGTATACATATATGTGTATATTTGCATCAGATGATTTAATCAGTTGATCAACAGAAGCACAAGAAAAGACTTTGTTTGAAAAATTCACGATCATATTTTTAGGTAAGATATTTCATTATATTTGAAAAATAACAAGTCAACAATTCTTGCTTCTACCCCCTACATACCTTCAGGTGAAGTCCTGTTTCAAATTCTTTTAGCCTTGTAAATGTTGGATCAGATAATAATTTTTTAGCAAATGTTGGTTTTTGTCAGGTGCTATAGTGTCTCCTTTACATTCAGTAGACAAAGGCTGAGCATTCTGGTTCTCCCCAACGTTGCCATACAGATGTTTTCATATCCAAAGAGGTAGAAGCTTCTTCGCCATCTAACTTCTTCTTTGTATTCTTAAGAAATTTAAGAGGAGCCGTCGTCGTCGCCGATCGAAGGAGCAGAAGCTGTCATGGTCGTCGTTTTCATCGAAGTTATCTCGAGATGGCGGCGATCACCCTTGATCCAAGGGATTCAGGGATTTGGGAGCGATTTGGGTCCTCTGTTGAATTAGAATTGGATGGGCTAGGCTGGCTGGGCTTAATAAAAGTTAAATGACTGGGCTCTACGTTTACTAACAACGATGTTAATTCCCTACATTACGCGCACAGCTACATCAGTGTAGTTCGTTGGGTTATCTCCAATATCCCTAAAATTTGTAGAGTTAAAATACTTCAGAGGCTATCTGCCGCGGTTCCAAATTTCGGAGCGTTATCTGCAACACCCTGCAAGTTTAAGCAATTACAATGATTTGATGTACTAATATGAAATTATTTCAAGATTTCAAGATTGGGTTGAGAAACTGTGCAGGAGTAGGCTTGCATATTAATCATCATCCATTTCACGTTACTCTTAATCTTAATCTCATGCTAGAAAATAACAAATAAAGCTAACAGGCTCTCCCTCTTACCGTCATATATTTCGATACCAATGGCCAACGCACGACCGCACGAGTACAGAAAATTGTTCTCCTTCGGCGTCTGGGCTAAATTCTCGCAATTGGTGGGCTTTTGTTGTCATTTGTCAGAGGCCTACTGGCTACTTCTTGGTTCTTTCTTATCTGTAGATTGGGCTGACCGCAGTGTTATAAATGGATAATGCCAACAATTTACGTACTATTTTCGAACCATAAGGAATAAATCTGTGGTGCCATTCGTCTTGAATTGCTAGTAAAAAAAATTTCTCTCCTCACGCAGAAAATACCTTGAGGACTTAGGGCCTTGTTTGACAAACGTTTAAGGAAGAGGGATTATGGTTAACATAGTTAGCTCATTTGGTGATATGAAAAATTAAATTTGTTAATCTGTCAGGTAAGTTTTATTTTTAATCCTTAAAATATTTCTTGTGCTTGGGAATAAAAAAGGATTATGACCCTCTTTCTTATAAATAGAGCAGTTATTTCTTAACATGCTTATCTCTTAACCCGTCGAATAAATAGTTTTGTAAACCCCTTGTTTTGAGATTTTAACTCTTCTAGAGAAATTTGTAAATCCTTCCATTTTTTTTTTTTGGTAAATGAAAAATTTTATTCATCCCCAAATGTAGAAATGAATGTACAACAAGAATCTCAACATATGTATGAGATATCAATACTGACATCAAGAGTTCAAAGAAAATAGAACTCCATCAAACACTCCATTAAGATATCTCAGCAACTAATAGCAGCTGAGATTAAAGATCAAAAATGTTACTCCTCAATGACTATCATAGTGAAATAATTCATTCTCTGTCTTCTGTCTTAAACGAGCCATTGAGAACAAGAGAGTAAATGCTGATTTTGATATCTTTAAAAACCTGATCAGCTGGCCTTGCTTTCTGTCTGAAAATCCTGAAATTCCTCTCTCTCCATATACTATAAACTGCTGTAGTTAGAGTCATCCTTTTGATCCTTTGCTTGAATCCATTCCCCTTCAGTCTATCACAGTACCATATCACAAGTTGATTCCAATCACAGGATTGCCACTTGAAATGGAGTCAATCCATTACTTTTAGCCAAACTTCTCTTGAATAGCAGCATTCAAAGAACAGATGATTTCTGTTTTCAGAACCAGCACGCAGACAACAATTGTTAGTGACCACTAATCCCCTCTTAATCAGTCTGTCAATGGTGAGCAACCTATCTTGGATTGCTAACCAACAGATAAAAGAATGACTGGGAAAGTTTGTAGTCTCTCAAACTGTTCTATGCCATGGCACAACTGAAGAATTTGGGGAGAGAGCATTGTACAAAGCTGAAATCTGGATTCTAGAATTGTCTGAGCAAGATTGAATGAGCAGCAACAAGTTATTTACACCTCCACAAAAGTTTACAGATTTATCTCTGACCTTCAATAATTTCTTCCACATCCATGAGTCCCAGTTTTTCTTCAATAAATCCTTCCATTTTGTGTTTATAAAATTAGGAGGGGTTAACTTAGTTTACACCCTGTATAAAATTTTATGTTTGACAGACTAAGGAGGAGTTAAGTCTTTTTGAACCCTGCCTTAAGTTATAGTCTTTGCCCAAGGACCCGTTATAGACATTATTTAGAATCAATTGGTGGTTGGGCACAATTTGATGTTGACAAAGATCGGATTCCTAGTATGGGAGTTAATGGAGTTAGATACGGCTCAGATCTGATAATTACCATATCTATATCCATGATCCGTATCCGTTCACCAATCATGGGTATGGATATGGATATGAATACATATACATATATGTATCGGTAAGGAAAACTCATATACATATCCACTAACACTGGATATAGATATACACGTGGATATATATGCAGATATGCATGCGGATACAAAATGGATATGAGAAAAAACAAAATAATATCGAAAAAAATATTAGTTCCTATGATACAGGACAGTTTTGTTGGTTGTATCTAAAAATTTAAGGTTATATCTTTTGATCATCAAGATAAGTCTCAAATCCATTAATCTAAGGACTATAATAATTGGAACTGGATAATCAACATACATTCAGATATTTTGGATACAAGTCCGAATATTTCACAATTTAACCATATTTGTTACTATTCTATCAGTTATAGATTTCAGTAACCATATCCACATCTTAACGGATGTGGATATATCAACAGATACGGATATTTTTTTGGCTCTCCTAATCTTAGTCATTGCCAATGTGAGGGGCTGGTATAGTGTAAGAGAGAGAGTCGTGTGGGATCCATTCGATACCAATGACTCATCAAATAATTTCATAGTTATTTGTCTATTTATTCATTTAAATTTGATTTGGGAGACCACTTAAGAAGAATCATATAATTCTCAGCATTCTTATAAATCATTGGATAATCCTTAACAAATATTTGTTTAAAATTTCATCACTAGTAATTTATGTTATAATACATATGATGGTATTACTCTAATCATTTTCTTTGCTCATGATTCTATACCTATTTCGTGAGATTTAAGAGTCACAGAACAATTTTTTAAACCAAACATTTGGAAAAATACGTCCAGTTTACCCACAACTATCAGCACAAGCCAAAACATTCAAACTACGCACACTTGCTAGAAACACAATTTCCTGTACGTCAATTGAGTTCAGTACACACAAAAACAGTTTACAACATATCAAAATCAAAATAGAAAAATTATCATAGGCGTCAAAAAGAACGTCTCGATACAAAACTGCTCTTAACAGTACATGGTTCTGTTCTATCGGGGGAAAAAAGAAAACTACATGGTTCTGTGAATTTTCTGTCAATGATACAAATCACACAAGGTCATGCCCTGCAGTTTGAATCCAAGCTAAACTACTATCAGCACTCTCATCTTTGTTCAATAAGATTGACATCGTCATCAGTAACAAAATTTTTCACAACATCCACCATCTTTGGCCGGGTACATCTTTCAATATTAAAAAAGCGAAGTAGCTAAAATACATTCAGAGGCCATTCTCCATCACCGAGAGAAACTCATTGATGATCAAGAAACTCCAAACCAGTTGCAGATGGTGTTAGATCATGAGCAGCAAGATACTGAGGATGATAGAACTTGCTCAAGTGCCTCATCCCACTATCACAAAGAATTGTCACTATCGTATGCCCCGGACCCAAAGATCGTGCTAATCTTACAGCACCAACACAGTTCATGGCAGAAGAGCTCCCAACAAAGAGCCCGTCGTTCTTTAGAAGAAACCTACAATTTGTGAAGTTTAGTGGAAAATGACATGTCAGAGGACTAAATGATAGCATATAACTTTGCTTGGTGATTAATCATCTTATTCCTATTTAGAAGAACAGAATTTGCCAGCGTGCATGAATAAATAAATAAATAATAGATTATAGATGTTTTACACCATAGGGAGAAAGAAAAATACTTTCCTGTAAGACTATAGATGCAAGTAATCAAAATTATGCCTATGCTACATAAAACTCATGGCAATGCAATGGAAACATCTAAAGCGAGAATTTTTACCCCAAAGATTATCTAGCAAAACCACACGAAAATGAGAAAATGCTTTAATTTTGATTTTAAGAGCAAAATGCTTTAATTTTGATTTTAAGAGCTTTGCCGAGTTATCTTTGAATTCATTGCAAGAACATGCTGGTCAACGACAAATCATACAATCAAGTTGCCATGAAAGAGGTCTAAATGCTGATACAGACTTTAGCTTAGTAATATTCCAACTTCACCCATACATCATGGGGATTTAGAGTGAATATTTATAGGAAAATTATACTGACAGCTATTGTGAAAAGGCAAGGCTGTGCCAAAGATAACATAGGTTAGAATTTATGAAGTGAAAACATATACACATATTTGCATTCAGGGATTCAAACTACGTGCCTAAAATATTATAGATTTAGATTGCCAACCTGGACATTTCAACAGCCTCCTTATCAGTGCCTCGAAAAGCTCCATCCAACTCTGCCATCATAAAGTTCTTTGTTAGCCTATTTATTCCAATTCCTTCTGTAATAGTATCAAAAGGATTCTTCAGCCTTCTCCCTTCGGCTTCCTCTTTTGTGTACATTACTCCTCTTGCAACCTTATTGAACAGACCGGATCCTGGGGGATCTACAAGGAAACATTTAATGTTGGGATCCTTTTCCTGAAAAAGATAACAAATAAACGATCTCAGCATGACCCAATACATTGCTCTGTTCAACTAAAATTGGATTTGAATAATATAGAACAGAGAATGGATTAAGACTGAAAACCTTAAGGAACCGCGAAACTCCAGCAAGAGTGCCGCCAGTACCTGCAGCAGCAATGAAGGCATCCAAATTCCCTTCAGTTTGGTCCCATATCTCAGGACCAGTGCCTTCATAATGAGCTCGGAAGTTAGCTAGGTTTTCAAACTGATCAGCAAAGAAACCCCCTTCGCAATTTGTTGAGGGAAGAAGACACTCATCTTGTTGTGATGGATCACCACTAGAATATACTGATCCATCACCATTAGCACGCACTAATCCGTTACCATTAGCACGTGCTGGTCCATTACATTCCATTCTACTACTAGCTTCTCTTTGCTTGGCTGCTAATCTATTGGCCTCTGAAGCTCTCTTCCGAGCAATATTAACAAAGTGGTCCTTGTGTGTAATAGAGACTGGTCTCACTCTTTCTACAGTAGCTCCAAGGGCCTCAAGAATTTGAGACTGAAAGAATATCCAGAGTCAACATATTAGAGCACGCAAAAAAATATATCAGTATCATGTACTTGGAAGTTATTGATACTGTTGAATAGATGCTTTAATGTTACTAAGTGGAATACCCATTTGGCTGAGCACCTATAAAGTTGTAATAGTTCACTCATATCACATTATTGCATATTTCTCTAGAGCAGACGCACCAAGCTAAAAATCAGTAGTGAGTTCATGAGAAATAGAACTCAACATTTAGGCCACAAGTGCAGAGCTCATCCTTTGATTATTAAAGATCCACTTCTATTCATGTGACAGATGCAAAGTTTTCTATTAATTAAAGATTTACTTTTAGTGGTCCCCTTTCACCAATTTATTGAGAGGAGGGAATGCTGAAAAACTTGAGGAACTTCAGCATCTACTGAGACTTGCATTGCACACAACAATTAACCATCGACTTGTTTTCTTGACTTTCTAAGATCCTGAATCATCTTACTCCATCCTTAATCTTATATATTTACAATTGTTTTTTGGGAAAATTCAGTAGTATATGGCAAACTATTATATTAAACCTGACTTTTCTGTTAAAATAACAAAAGAAATTGTAAGATCTCTGCATCCTCTACCCATTTACATGATGCATTAAAGAGATTCTTGATCATGTCATACTTTGCTGGGAAATCGATGTTACTTTTAAAAAAATCCAGGTTAAAGGAGCAATAAAACATTATGGGTATCTAATATTTAACAAAATAGCAAATACATCTACATTACAGCTAAGCTAGAGGCTGAAATACGAAAGAATATATCACATGAAAACTTTGATTCTAAATATGTACAGAGGAATATATTAAAGAACTGATTGCATAGGAGTCCAGTGAGAAAATTGGAAAAACTGATCGCATGTGAGTCATATCAGAGAAAAAAACATGGAAGAGAACTGCATAAATCATTAAAGAAATAGAATTAACTCTTACTTTCTCAATGGCAGCATCATCAGGGATTACAACATGACATTTACATCCGTAAGCAGGAGCCACAGTCGCAAGACTGATGGCAGTGCTTCCAGCACTTCCCTCAGTCACCACTCCACCCTTGAAAAGGTCTCCAGAATCTAGAGCCTACATAAATTATATTCGAAGAACGATACCTGAAGCTGATTAGAATACCAGTAGAAGCCACAACATAAAAGCTTCTTGAATTCAAGAGTACAAAAAGTATGGAAAAGCAATAGATTATATATTTTCCTCGAGTTATTACAATTAATAAATAGCGATTAGTGACCTTCGGTATGAGAATTCAGGTAACCTAAAATTAAGGTATAAGCTCATTTAAATTTAGAGGTCCTGGTTTCTTCTATCAAGTAGTTAATGAGATAGCCAGTCATTCTTTTTTTCTTAACCTGATTATTTTGTGGTGTTTACATTGTGCTGTTAGTAGATACCATTAGCAGAAATGTAGGTTATTGAGTTAGGCTTATAGAAATACACCCTAAATCTGTAATTGCACACTTTGTAAGAGAGTTTGACAATTCATTCTAAATAAGTAACAGTATCTAGAAGAATCCCTCGCAAATGTGGCCCTGAATACCACTCAGAATAATTACCAGAAATCGTGCTTCCCTTACTCATTCAAGCTATGGATCATACTATCAACTTTACTATTCACTCTATCCCTACAAGCCTGTTATTTAAGTCAAAATGATGCTATATAGATAACACTTTCTTTCTGACCAGCGAATGCAAAACTCCCCTCCACATATTATGCCCACATTCAGAGAAAAAATATACAATGTAAAAAATGAAAAATAATAATAGGCCACCTCTCCCTCTCTTTCTTCACTGTTAGGACCCTCACTTCACCAGGCATCAAAGCCTTGAGGAGAACATAAATAATTTAGGGGCTGATTGATAGGCGGCATGTTATCATCAGGCACATGTGGTATGTTGTTATCAGGCTAATTCACAAGTTCATCTGGAATACTTTAGGGTGATGTTTGATGTACTTATCAGCCACTATGGTCATAAAACAAGTCAGGGAATCTCTTCTCAAGACATTAGAAAAAATAACTGTGGCTGGAAAGTGGAAACAAAGAGACATGTTGTAACCTATATCAAACCTACTTTCTTCTTTCAGGGAGGCAATTTTGTTGAAAATTTCTTCCATCTCATCTTTCCTTCACTTCTTAGTTTTTCGTTTTTCCTTGCGGTGCTTGCAGTTTGTAGAGTTTCTTGATTACGCAAGCGCACCTTAGAAACTAATCGATATAAATATTTTAATAAGCTGAAGGACCGTGGCTAGAGCAAGCCATTGAGATTTATTATATTTTATCAGCCTCATATCTCCTCAGCTCAATTACCTAGTTTTAAAATATAGGATTCTACTCATTAAGGTCTAGCTGGTTACTTTTGCATGGTCTATCCACTGTGGAATTTGATGTGACCGCAGGCTACCTTACCTCTGTTTCCTAATTGTAAGAACTTACCATATGTTCACATCAAGTTTATTTCAATGCCCAATATTAGGATCTATACTCTGTAAGTAAAGGTGGTTCTTTCTTTCACAATTCGCATATATTCCCAACTAGAATTTTCGCAAACATAATCATATCAATAGATGACATCCTACTTCTATTTACTAGCCTTACCACAAGTTCTGTTCTCCTTATCATTAACTCAAAGTTTAATATCAACCTTCAACACAGAAAGTTCTACTTTCTTCAGTCATATAGATCTACTGTCAACAAGGAAATTCTTAAACAGAAAAATAACAAATTGCATATCTTAGCTTCATAATAAGTAAAGAAAAGGGAGCAGGTTAACGGTTTATCACCTCTTCGATGATCTTAACGGCGACCCGGTCCTTAACACTGCCCCCTGGGTTCAAGAACTCAGCTTTACCAAGAATCTGAAACAAAATCCAAATGAGTATCTCAAGATTTCCATCTTCCACCACTTTCTGATCAAAACCCATCAAAAATTGAAGGATCAAATTGGCTTACCTCGCAGCCCGTGGCATCAGAGAGGCTGTTGATTCTGATGAGGGGAGTGTTTCCAATAGCTGCGATAAGGCCTTTGTTGGGATTGTAACCTCTGGGGTTTTGAAGAGATTTCTTCTTCTTTTTCTTGAGGAATTTGAGGGCAGAGAAGCGATCATTGGAGAGGAGGAGGAAGATCATGGTGATGGAAAGAGCTGCGGCAGTGATCCCAACTGTGGGTTTCAC